AAAAAATCTTTAAAAAAAAAAAAAAAAAAAAAAAAATAAAAGCAGTATAGCCCCTTTAAAAACAAACTGTTAAAAACAACAGGTAAGAGAGAGAGACAGAACTGGTTTAGCTAAAACAAAGGTGGGGCAGGCACACAAAGCTCCTTCCTTATTTCTCAACTGTCAGGAGAACCTTTGACAAACAAACACAATCTGAAATCATGATCTAGGCCAATCCTCTTATTCTGAGGATAAGAAAAAGGAGACTCAGAGAGGTTCAGGAATCGCCCAAGGTCACACAGTAAGCAACAGATGTAGGACTCGAGGCCAGGACTTCTGACCTCCAGTTCAGTTCTCTTTCTACCCCCCAGGCTCCTTCAGTGACCAGGAGATGAGGGAAGGAGGAGACAATTACTGACATTAAAAATGGGGCACACAATAAGTGGGAAGTGGGGGTGGAGAGGCACGAGCATTTGGACTGAAATGAGTCATGACACCCAAGCTGGTCTTAGGCTTACTTTGTTCTAGCCCTCGAGGAAGGGAGCACCCGAGCTACACCTGTGGCGTCTCTGGCACGTGAAGCTAGTTTAACAGGCTTCTCAGGTGGTGTCACTGGAAAAAAAGAAAACAGGAAAGATGCCATCTGGCTACAGAGAACTGAAGTCATGGTGAAAAGGATCACAAGTTCCCCACCAAGCTGTCTCCCAGACCCTCCTACTGAAAGAAGGGCCTGTTGAGAGGAAGGAAACTGGCCCCATAGGCAGGTCCCAAATCGGGGACGGGGGCAGTAATATTTCCAAGCAGGAAGTCAACCCTAAATGCCAACTGGTGCCAAATGAAGAGCCCCATCCTGCTCTGCCCCATGGAAATTCAGGAAGAACAATGCACTTCCGCTGCCCAAAGCCATCAGCTGGAACACATGAGCTTGTGCTGTGTGGGTTCTTCTGGGCCAGGTGGGGGGCACCTCAGCCTTGCTGTCCCTGGTGAGCTTTGCATGATGCCGAAGACCTGCTCCTCAGTACAGCAGACATGGACACACAACACAAGGGACTAGTATCCAGAATATACAAGGCACTCTTACAACTCAATAGTAAAAAGACAAACAACCCAATTAAAAAATAGGCAAAGGGGAGTGACGTCAGCATCATGGCAGAGAAAGATGTCTGAGAGACCCACGTAGCCTTACATCTAAGGGTGGAGGTGCTGGTACCCCTGGAGGAAGTGGAAGGAGGTAAGGAGAACTCCCCTCCTTCTCCAACGACAGTGACCCTGGGACCAAGACTGTGTGGCTCTCTGAGAAAGAGAGGGGAGGGATGGCCCTCTGTGGGAAAACCATTGCCCTCCAAGTTCTCTCACACCCTGTATGAAATTCCCATATGGAGGAGAATGAACTGTTGTGGGGGTGCCTTCATCAAGCTAGCACCCCAGGAGAGCAGATAGTGAGGGAAGAACGAGAAGCCCCTGGGATCAGGCAGGGGAAAGAAAGAGCCCCTCCCCTCCGGGACTGTGTGGCTCTCAGAGAGAAGGGGGAGATGTGGCCCTCTGTGGGAAAACCATCGCTCTCCAAGTTCTTTCACAGCCTGTGGGAAATTCCCATACGGAGGGGACTGAACTGTTGTGGGGGTGCCTTCATCAAACTAGCACCCCAGGAGAGCAGATAGTGAGGGAAAAACGAGAAGCCCCCAGGATTGGGTAGGTGAAAGAAAGACCCCTCCCCACCCCCCTGCCTGGAGCACAGCCAGTCGGCCACAGTGCCTGCGGACCGTGGCGGGCTCAGAATACACAGCTCTTGACCCCCACCCAGTGGCGGCAGGTGGAAGCTGCAACCAGATATTTTCAGAGTGAGGAAAAATAAGCCCACGCCCTCAAGCAGTATGCAAAAATATATTAAATCTCCAGACCAGAAGGAAAATGACAAGTACCCAGAAATCAATCCTGAAGGCACAGAAATTTATAACCTAAACGACAAAGAATTCAAAATAGCTATCATAAAAAAGCTCAATGAACTACAAGGAAACACAGATAGACAATTCAATGAAATCAGGAACTTTTTCACAAAAGAGATTGAAACTATAAAGATAAACCAATCAGAAATGTTGGATATGAAAAACTCAATGGAGGAGATAAAGAAAAATGTGGAATCTTTAAAGAACAGAGCTGACAATATGGAAGAAAGAATTAGCAATATTGAGGATAGGAATGCAGAAATGCTCCAGATGGAGGAGGAGAGAGAACTAAGACTAAAGAGAAATGAAGAAATTCTCTGAGAAATATCCGACTCAATTAGGAAATGCAACATAGCGATTACAGGTATTCCAGAGGGAGAAGAGAGGGAAAAAGGAGCAGAGAGCTTGTTCAAAGAAATAATAGCTGAGAACTTCCCAAACCTGGGGAAGGAGCTGGAAATACAAGTGAATGAAATCAACAGATTTCCTAACTATATCAACAATAAAAGACCCTCTCCAAGGCACATAGTAATAAAGCTGGCAAAAGTCAATGATAAACAAAAAATATTAAAGGCAGCAAGACAAAAAAAAATAATGTACAAAGGATTTCCTATCAGGCTTTCAGTCAATTTCTCGGCAGAAACTTTACAGGCTAGGAGAGAGTGGAATGATATATTCAAAATTCTTTTTTTCTTTTTTATGAGGAAGATCAGCCCTGAGCTAACATCTGATGCCGAGCCTCCTCTTTTTTGCCAAGGAAGACTGGCCCTGGGCTAACATCCATGCCTATCTTCCTCTACTTTATATGGGATGCCGCCACAGCACAGCTTGACAAGCGGTGCATTGATGCGTGCCTGGGATCCGAACCCCGGGCCGCCTCGACAAGCAGAGCATTGGTGCGCACCTGGGATCCCAACCCGCGAACCCGCTTGAGCCACCTGGCCAGCCCCTCAAAATTATGAAGGATAAAAACTTTCAGCCAAGAATACTCTACCCAACAAAAATATCCTTCAGATATGATGGAGAAATAATGACTATCCCAGATAAACAAAAGCTAAGAGAATTCATTGCCACAAGACCCCCACTACAAGAAATGCTCAAGAAGGCCCTCAAGGGGGCCACCCCGGCGGCGTAGTGGTTAAGTTTGCACGCTCTGCTTCGGCGGCCTGGGGTTCGCAAGTTCAGATCCCAGGCTTGGACCTGCACACCACTCATCAAGCCATGCTGTGGCAGGCATCCCACATACAGAGTAGAGGAAGATGGGCACGGACATTAAGCCTAGGGCCAATCTTACTCAGCAAAGACAGGAGGATTGGCAACAGATGTTAGCTCAGGGCTAATCTTCCTCACCAAAAAAAAAAAAAAAAAAAAAGAAGGCCCTCATGCCTGAAAAAAAAAGAGAGAAAGGGGATACAAAGCTTTGAGAAAAATAGGTAGTCAAAATCAGAAAAATTGCAGCTCTTATCAGAATATGTTAGCAAACACTTAAATTATAACACCAAAGATTAAGGGAAGGAAAACACCAAAAATAAATATAACCTCATTACTTTAAACACAAACTCACAACACAAGATAGAATAAGTTGTGACAATAATAACTTAGAAGGGGAAGAGGAAAGGGATGGAATCAACTTAGTCTAAGGAAATAAGAGGCCATCAGAAAATGGACTATCTCATCTATGAGATTTTTTATACAAACCTCATGGTAACCACTAAACAAATAATAAGAACAGAGACACATATGATAAATAAAGAGAAAACTAAGAAAACCATCATACAGAACTACCAAACTGAATTGGTAGTCTGAAACACACAGGATGAGAAACAAAGGAAACACAAAAGAACTGGAAAATGAGTGATAAAATAGCAACATTAAGCCCTCATATATGAATAATCACTCTAAATATAAATGGATTGAATTCTCTAATTGAAAGACACAGAGTGGTGGGATGGATTAAAAAACAAGACCCAACAATATGCTGCCTCCAGGAAACACATTTCAGCTCTCAAGACAAAACACAGGCTCAGAGTGAAAGGATGGAAGACAATACTCCAAGCTAATGGCAAACAAAAGAAAGCAGGTGTTGCCATACTTATATCAGACAAAGTAGACTTCAAGATAAAACAGGTAATGAGAGACAAAGAGGGGCAATATATAATAATTGCCAAGGGATACTCCACCAAGAAGACATATCACTTATAAATATAGATGCACCCAACACAGGAGCACGAAAGTACCTAAAGCAACTATTAACAAACCTAAAGGGAGATATCAAAAACAACACAATAATAGTAGGGGACCTTAACACCCCACTTACATTAATAGATAGATCATCCAAACAGAAAGTCAATGAGGAAACAGTGGACTTAAATGAAAAACTAGACCAGATGGACTTAATAGATATATAGAGAGCACTCCATCCTAACACAGCAGATTACACATTCTTCTCAAGCGCGCATGGAACACTCTCAAGAATAGACCACATGCGGGGAAACAAGGCAAGCCTCTATAAATTTAAGAAGATTGAAATCATAACAAGCATCTTCTCCAACCATAATGCTACGAAACTAGAAATCAACTACAAGAAAAAAACTGGGAAAGTGACAAAGATGTGGAGACTAAACAACATGCTACTGAACAACCAAAGGATCATTGAAGACATTAAAGGAGAAATAAAAAAATATCTGGAGACAAATGAAAATGAAAATACACCACACCAACTCATACGAGATGCAGTAAAAGCAGTTCTGAGAGGGAAACTCATAGCAATACAGGCCCACCTTAACAAACAAGAAAAATCTCAAATAAGCAACCTTAAACTACATCTAACAGAATTAGAAAAGAAGAACAAACAAAGC